TTAATTCAAACCACGTATGAAAAACAGAAGGTGTAAAAAGATGGTAGAAATAAAGCCAATTATATCAATAATTATGATTGTAAATGGACTGAACTCTCCAGTTAAATGGGTATAGACTGTCAGACTCCAAAAAAACAAAACAAAACAAACAAAATCCAGGGGCGCCTGGGTGGCTCAGTCGTTAAGCGTCTGCCGTCGGCTCAGGTCATGGTCCCAGGGTCCTGGGATCGAGCCCCACATTAAGCCCCGCATTGGGCTCTCTGCTTGGTGGGGAGCCTGCTTCTCCCTCTCCCACTCCCCCTGCTTCTGTTCCCTCTCTTGCTGTGTCTCACTCTGTCAAATAAATAAATATTTAAATTAAAAAAAAACAACACAAAATCCAGCCACATGTTGTTCATATAAGAAGCTCCATCAATTACCATGTTTCTTTAAAAAAAAAAAAAAAGACCAGTGTTAGGACCTGAAGATTTGAATCCTTCACCACCCCCATTGATATGTTGAAATTCTAACTCGTCATGTGGTGATATTAGGAGGTGTGGCTTCTTTGAAGTAATTAGGTGATGAGGGTGTAGCCCTCATGAACAGGATTAGTGCCCTTTTAAGAAGAGCTAGGAGAGCCTGCTGTGGCTTTCTGCTCTCTGCCACCTGAGGAGACAGTTAGAGGGCAGCCATCTGCAAACCAGGAAGCAGGCTCTCACCAGAGACCAGATGTCCTGGCCCCCTGATCTCAGACTTCCCAGCCTCCAGAACTGAGAAATAAATGTTTGGCGTTTAAGCCACCCAGTCTATGGTATGTGAGATGCACATTTCCATGTTTTTAGTTTTATTTTAAAGAGAGAGACACACAGAAAATGGAAAGAAAATAACCACAGTTAAAGAAAAAAACGATAACATAAATAAAAGACATACAAGTGGGATAATCAACAAAAGCAAGAGTTGGTTCCTTTATTATTTTTTATTTATTTATTTTCTTAGATTTTATTTATTTGAGAGAGAGAGACAGAGATAGTGAGAGAGAGAGCACAAGTGGGGAGGAGAGGGAGAAGCAGGCTCCCCACAGAGCAGGGAGCTCGATGCGGGACTCGATCCCAGGACCCTGGGATCATGACCTGAGCCGAAGGCAGATGCCTAACCGACTGAGCCACCCAGGCGCCCAAGAGTTGGTTCCTTTAAAAGTGAAGTCTTTGATTAGGTTAATAAGGAAAAAACAAGAGAAGGCAAAATAAATAATACGAAAAGAAGAGACTACATAATTATAAATGAGAGCAGACATTTTTTAAAAAAGGGAACTTTATGTCTATATATCAAAAGCATATAATATTAAAAATTTTCTAGAAAAATTTAACTTATCGAAGCTAAGAGAAAACCTGATGAACAATGCAATAACCGCTAAAGAAATTAAACCAGTAATTTAAAATCTTCCCTCAAAGAGTAGATAGTTTTATACTTGAGTTATACCAAATACTCAAAGAATGAATAATTTCTTTGAACAAAATATAACAAAGAAGAGAAAAGGGTGGTAAGATTCTTAAATTCACTGTATGAGGCTAGAATAACTTAAGCTTCAACCAGAAAAGGAAACTGCAAAAGAGGAAAATTATAGGCCAATTTCTTTTTTGTTTTTGAAGATTTTATTTATTTATTTGACAGAGACACAGCGAGAGAGGGAACACAAGCGGGGGGAGAGGGAGAAGCAGGCTCCCCACAGAGCAGGGAGTCTGATTAGGGGCTAGATCCCAGGACCCTGAGATCATGACCTGAGCCGAAGACAGACGCTTAACCAACTGAGCCACCCAGGCGCCCCTACAGGCCAATTTCTACACAAAATATTAGCATACCAAATCCAACACTGTATTAAAAATATAGTCATCATGATCAATTTGAGTATTTTCTAGGAATGCTAGAGTGATTTAGCATTAGAAAAATCTACAATTCATCAACTCACCAGATTTAAAGGAGAAAAATGATATAATCACTCCGAGAAGATGAAGAAAAATGAAGTCAGTAAATTTCAAGATCCAGTCTTAAAAACCAGACAAATACATAAACAACAATAAAAACCCTTCTAGACATAGCATAGGACTTTGTTAACTTGATAAAGCACATCCACAGCTAATATGACACTTGAAATACGAATGCATTCCCTTTAAAATTACAAACAAGGTATCATCACTTCTAGACAACATGTTACTGGAAATCTAAGCAAGACAGAAAAACAAGAGAAAAGAAAAAGATATAAATATTAGAAAGTGAGAAACTAGATTTTCATTACTTGCCGTTAACATGACCATCTACCTAGCAAAATACCCTCCCCACCTAGCTATAATAAATTATTTAAACTAATAAACTAATTTAGCTAGGTTATAGGATACAAAAGCAATAAATAAGTAAACTATGTTTCTATACATAAGCAGCAATCACCAAATGACAATTTAAAAAAATATCGAGCAGTGTTAATCAAATCCCAACAGGAACTTTTTTTTTTTAAGAATTTGATATGGAAAGCAGATACCTAAGAATAGCCAAGGCACTTCTGAAAAACAAAATGGGAGGATTTAACCTATTAGATACCAAGATTTATTACAAAGGTGGGACGCCTGGGTGGCTCAGTCGGTTAAGTGTCTGCCTTCGGCTCCGGTCACAATCCCAGGACCCTGGGATCGAGTCCATATCAGGCTCCTTGCTCATCGGGGAGCTCAGGGGGGAGCCTGCTTCTCCCTCTGTGTGCAGCTCTCCCTGCTTATGCTTGCTCTCTCTCTAATAAAATCTTAAAAAAAAAAAAAAAGATTTATTACAAAGGTATGGTTATTAAGACAGGTGATATCAGCACAGGAATAGACAAATAGATCAATGGAACTGAAAAGGGAGCCAAGAAATAAACCCATGCCTATATGCTTATGTGAACTTGACTGAAGACAAGCTGGCATTGTATCAGTGAAGGAAAGGCCCAATATGTGGACCTGGGACAAGAGATTACCGACGTGGAAAATAAACGAAATTGGTTTCCTGCCTCACATCATACACAAAAATCAATCCTGGTAGAATAAAGGCTTAAATATAAAAAGCAAAACTATAGACCTTTGAGAAGAAAGTATAGGAGAATAGGGTAGGAAAGGCGTCCTTAGACAAGGTCACAAAGCACTGACAATAAATAAAAGGATCAAGACATGACGACAATTATGATTATGTGTTCATCAAAAGGCACCTTTAAAAAAAAGGACACCTTTCTTTCGAAGTTGTGTGATTGTATATGCAGATCCGTTATTTTATTCTGCTGCTGTTATATAGGATTAAAAAAAAAAAAAACCCACCATGGAGTGACAAAAACAGCCCCCAAACTGGGCTATTTGCCACTTACATAACTAAAAAAGGTTTAGTATTGAAATATATGTAAAGAATATAAATAAGAAAGACAAACAATCCATTAATAAAATGAAGAGATTTCACCAAAAAAAGCTAATAAATATTTGAAAAGAGGTTTAACTTCTCTAATTAGAGAAGTTAACAGAGGAAAGTAATTTAGCTAGGATAGTGGATATAAAATCCAGAAGCAAAATCATAATGACATACCATTTCAACACCTTATTCAGACAAAAATTAAATTTTCTGATGATTAGCAATGTTGACAAGTATGTGAAGCAACAAGAACTGATGTTTCTGCTGGTAGGAATGTAATTGCAGGGAGGAACGGAAATGCCTTTATAAAACAGCTTGGCATCGTATTATAAAATTGGAAAGGCCTATACCATATGTTCCAGGAATTCCGCTCCTTGCATTACAGCACCCATAACAAGAATGTGTAGCAGCCAATCCTGGTGTTTCCAGAATTACCCAAATGTCCACTGGGAAGAAGAATGGAAAAACTGTACGACACAACTGAATGATTAACTACAACCTCACACATCAATATAGATGAATCTCAAAATACAGTGCCAGTTGAAAAAGGCCAGTAAAATGAATACAAATGGTAAGAAGCTATTTCTATGAAGACCCAAACCATGTAGAGTTACAACCGCATCAGGAAGAAGCACCCGGTAACTGCTTGGTAACCGAAGTATTCTATTTCTTAAATTGGAAAGTGAGTTCATAAATGGAAGATTTGCTTCATAACTTACACGTGTATTACACATTTTTGGTATCAAATACTTCATTCTTAAGTTGTTAACACAAGTGAGAAAGGGATGGTGAATGAACACACAACAAAATTTAGTTATTACTCTGGAGTTGGGATAAAGTGAGACTTTCACTTAATTATTCACTCCTGGACCATTTAAAATGTTTACAGTTAGCAAGTAATATGTTTGGGGAGAAATGATTACAGAAAACAAACTGCATAGAAATCTGGGGCCCATTACTATGAAGGGCAGTAATTCTGTTTTCAACTTACACAATTTCCCCAGGATGTCCTCAATTAAAACTATGCTTAGCATACTCTATGGATAAGTCTAAAATACTGAGAAAACCTGCCAACAAAAATGGGTTAAAAGACGCTGGTTTTTACTGAAAGCATGCATACTTTCTTTGTATTAACAATTCTTGACTTCACCTAATTTTTATTATACTAATTTGCTACTTTGACGCACCTCTGCACTTCTCCAATTTTTTAATACTGTACACTGCCACAAATCCTTTTTGATGTAAGAGGCATTCACAGGATTTTTCTCCACGAGCACCAAAGAGCAGTGCGCCCTGAGAGCTCCCAAGTAAACCACCCCGAATGCTCGCTGCCCTTCCTAACCATGACCGGAAGGAAGCAGGTGCCCGGGCTGCGAGGGCTTGGGTGATCTTCTAGCCCTAGTCCCACCCCCGAGATCCGGGATGGTGAAGGGACCTGCCCAGGACCAAGACGTGGGTGGCCGAGCCGAAAGAGAGAAGCTCTGCAGCACCCGGCGCCTGCAGACGCCCGGGACACACGCGGCTTCCCCGAGGGAGGACTTTCTCGCGGCGCCGGGCCTTGGCGACCCCGCCCACGACCTCGGCCCCGGGGCCGGGCGCCTTACTTGCCGCTCTCCACGCGGTGGCCGGGACGCAGCCAAGCAACCGAGCCAGCCTTGACACAGACATGGTGCCAAATCCCACAGCGTCCTCGCGGGCCCAGGAGGGAGAAGGGGAGAGCCAGCCGCACCGACCGGGGCCCACCCCACGGGGGGGCGGAGCTCTCGTGAGGTGGGGCCTGCGTGTGGAGGGGCGGGGCCTGCGTGTGGAGGGGCGGGGCCTGCGCGTGGCCGGGCGGGGCGGGGCTTCCGGAGCTCTTCCTCGGAATCCGTTCTCCCTTCCCAGGCTGTCTGTCGGGGAAGGCGCGTGGAGGGCGTCAGCTTTCTCGCGAAGAAAGACTCCAACTACCCTGACCCACGTGTTGATTAAAATCCCAAATCACGGCTGAGGTTGGATGAGGGAATAATTCCGTGTATGCCTCTTAATCTGAGGCAGAGGTCTCTTGAAAGATCTCTTTTATAGCACACAAAGGTGAAGCACCTTTTACTCAAGCCCGTGTAATAATAGTCTTTCCTTTTTCACTTCTCTTTTATTTTTTAAATACCTGGTTGTTCAGTGAACTCCTAATCCGTCAGTTCTGACTCACTGACGGGATGATCTGAAAGATGACAGTTTTGAGTGAAGAGCAGAGCAAGACAGGCTTGCCATCTGGTCCAGGTTGCAGGGGAAGGAGCTCTGCCAGTTGGCCCATAAATTCCAACAGTTCCAATGACGTTTGGAGCATATGTGGCAGATCAGGAGGCTCTATGTAACTTGTGGAAATCCTTACAATCACAGTGCAGGTCCCTAGATTTTTATTTTTTTATTTTTCAGAAAAGTTCTTGGCTGTTGGGCGCTGGTAATGTCTGACAAGGTGACATTAGGTGGCTATGCAATCTGAGTTTCTCATCATGAACTGGGAGATATCTGATCCTCCTAGATAAGGAGTCCTTTTACCAAAAGTATTATATACAAAACAGGGCCAGAACCAAAACCCAAGCAGTTTTCATTAGCAGTTAGTTCCCACAGATACTTTAGACCCTTAGTTCATATCTACAGTTTAATGATGAGTTCCTTGTGACCAGTTGACTGAGGAAGAAAATTCAAAGCTGATTATGGATGGCTTTGCTCAGTATACTAACTCGGCTATCAATGGACTGCCTTGGCATTTAAAGCCCCATTTAACAGAGGCCCTCAAGGAACAGCAGAGAGAGATCCTCTCAGAGGCTAGAACTTTATCCTGTACACTTTGCAGGGAAGGAGATGTGGTGTGAGATAAAGATCTACATAATTTCATGGGCACTGGTTTAGTCAAGTCTTGGTCAGGGACTGGGACTGTAAAGGTTTTGGAATAGTTCTTTGGAATAGGACTTCTCAAAATTGCCCCAAAACATAAGAATATTTGGATCTCATTGCTTCCCGCCCCCCCCCAAAAAACCAGCTCCCATTTCAGAAGGGCTCTTAATCAGAATAAGATTACTGTTATTATCTATTGCTCCATAACATATTAAACCAAAATTTTGCCTTAAAACAATAAACACTTATTCTCAGTTTTTGTGGGTCAGAAATGCGGGAGCCAGTGTGCCTGTGGCTCTAGGTCTTAAGGGAGGTTGCTGTCAAGCTCTTAGCTGAGGTTCCAGTCCCATATGGAGGCACAACTAGGGGAGGATCTGCTTCCAAGCTTACTAGTCCCATTATTGGCAGGTTTTAATGCTTTGTGTGGGCTTTTGGACTGGAGGCCTCTTTCAGTTCTTGCTGTGTGGGCTTCTTCAAAGGTCATCTCAAATATGACAGCTGGTTTTCCACAGAATGAATGAGAGAATGAGACTGCTAAAGGGGAAGCCACAGTATTTTTGTAATCTCAAGTTTTGATATATTCTATCATTAGAAGTGATGTATTCTTTCTTTTATGTATTCTATTAGAAGTGAGTCAGCATATCCAGCACCGTCTCAAAAGGGAGGGGATTACACAAAGGGTGAATACCAGCACATGGGGATCACTGAAGATCATTTTAGAGGCTGCCTACCATAGTGACCCACTCTGTAGACATCAGTCAGCCTCATTCCCCCACCACAGCTGGACCCACTATCAGGTAGCCATGGTGGCATAGAGATGCACAGATTTTTAACATAGTCTTTTTCCCTGCCAAGAGTGATTGGCTAGCACCACTCCTTGCAGTGAACAACCTGTCCCCCTGATATAGGACTACATAGCCTGGGTGGCAGGTTTGATTACAATGGAATCCTACTAGAATGAAGGAAGTAGCAACTTGTTGGTTTCCCTGACTTATGCTTCTTTTACACCTTCTTTCTGTGGACTTACTGAATACCTTATACTACATACACTTTATATAGCATCCCATACAACATTGCTTCTTACCAAAGAACTCACTTTCCTGTGAAAAATGTAGAGTACTGATGCTTGTGGGATTAACAAGCCTTATCATATATCCCATCAGTCCAGAAGCAACTGGTCTTATAGAATAATGGACAGCCCTACTGAACATTTACTTTTGGAACAAGGTGAGAAAATACACTTTGGGATGCTGTCCTAAAGGACTTGGCATATGCTCCCAATGACTTAAGAGTATTTTCAGTGATATCTCTTCTATAGACAGAGTAACAGGATCTAAAGAGTAGTAGAAGGACTAATATTGTGTAACATGATACACTGTCCATATATTTTGCTTTCCATTTTGGGGAGAGACAATCTGCCATGGGTCCCAGGCATCCCTGCATATTATTGCTGAGTATACCAATGGGAAGGTTTATCCATCTCCTGAAACTCAGCAATTTCTGTAGCTAGTCATATAGGCATTTAAATACAGCATTACTACCATTTTTTTTTTAAAGATTTTATTTATTTATTCATGAGAGACAGAGAGAGAGAGAGAGAGGCAGAGGGAGAAGCAGGCTCCCAAGGAGCAGGAAGCCCGATGCGGGACTTGATCCCAGGACCCTGAGATCATGACCTGAGCCGAAGGCAGACGCTTAACCATCTGAGCCACCCAGGCGCCCCCAGCATTACTACCATTTAACTGCTGTTCCCCTTGGGGAAAAGAGACTGGCTTGTTTGCTGCTTGCTCAAAAAATGCTTGGCCATTGGCCCTGGACTTTTCTCCTGTGATGCAACCCATTGTGTGTCCAGGTGTCATCTGGCACTATGCATCACTGTGGAAATTGGGGCCCCAGGAACGAGTGCAAATATGCTGATGCTCTGGCTATTTTGCTGTAATAGTCTTTTGTACCTGGGAGTTTCCTGTCAGCATCCATTTAACTGTAGCAAGCAAGCTTACAAGTAGGATAAAATCTTAGACCCTTCACTGCTCTTGCCATCCATCTCCATGATTCCAGATTCTGTTGGTGTACCAATTTTTGTACCCAGAGTGGGGTATAAGGGGATACAATGTTTTCTCTGCATTGGAGGTTGGGATTGTAACCTGGTCATTTTAGCTCATTCCTCTAGGTAAGGAGTTAGAAAAAATGGTTATGGCACTAGTTGGGGTGATGGCCCTAATGACCAAGGAAGAAAAGGGAGTAGGGAGAGGAGTCTGATTAGAGCTTGGGAAATCTTATCTCTTGGAATACCTCCTCACAAAAGCATGTTGAATTATAAAAATTGAGCAAACATCTGCAACCATATACAGGCAAGACCACTCAAGCCTCAGATCCTTGGGATCACGCACTAGGTAAAGAAATCTCATCCACTGAGATACTGGTTGAACACAAAGGAAACAGGGAATAAGTGGCAGTGGTGAGAAGTCATAACCATCTAGCCTCATGGCCAGTGGCAGAACTGAGGACTGTATTTAGCATAATTTTTTAAAAATTTAAATCAGAGACCTTTGGGAGAAAGCGTGCTGCTCCCCATACCCTATCCTGGATATTGTTTCAGTTCATCTGTAATAGGGCTCTGGAATTTGTATTTTTAACAAGTAATTTGGGTAATTCTCAGCAGGGAAGTTGGCAAAGCCCTGCTCTAGTTATATTTTCTTCCTCATTAGTACATACATATGCTTATATATTTAATAATTTCCCTTTTCTTTCCTATCTTATACTATTATTGGATATAGGCATGGTTGTGGTAAGGTGGCAATTTTGTCTATGGGTTACATACTACTGAGACAAGATCATTACAAAATTAGAGGAGGAATGGACATCACATGGAGATTCTGGACTTGAAAGTGGGTGAGGGATAATAGTATTATGTTAGTATTATGCAAATGTGTAAATATGGGACAAGTGGTATAGGTGGATGTTGGAAAGAGATGGGACTACAGTAGATCTCTGATGTTTCTCTATTTCTGTATTCAGTCATCAAACCCATTTTATATGTTTGGTGGATCTAGTTAGAGAAATGGTCCCATCTTCTACTGTGGAAGCAGAGAAGGTCAGACATACTTGCCATCTTCGATGCCTGACAGCCTGAGTGCTGGCACAAGACTAATCTTGGTCAGTTGGACATTCCCATCAGACTTTGGAGTGTCTGGAATCCAGTTTTCAGAGGCACCACTGCCAGTAGACACATACACAAACTTCCAATTCTTCTTGAGGTCACAACTTGGCTACGATTTTGGTCATTTAGCTTCCCTTGGCTTCTGTTTTCCAAAGTTCATTCTCCAGCATTTCCAACAATTCTGTGAGCTACCTAATATTCTTCCATTAAATTGTTTTTCTGCTTAACTTAATGTTTTTTGTTGTTGTTGTTTGTAACAAGAATTCATAGGGGTATATACTTTAATGAGATTCATTCTCTAAAAGTCAATTATATTGTTTCAGATAATCACTTTCCTTTTCCCTCAGAACCCCATTCCATTCCTGCAAATCTGAATTTGGAGGTAAATAACGTATGATAGTTTCCCTGTAAATGAGAAGTGAAATCTTATAGATTTTAAACCATGATCATTGATACGCTTTTAAAAACTGTGTCAAAACAACCAACAACCAATCAACCAACTATGATCATAAGAACAATTTACCCTCAAATACAATTATATGATTATGAGTAAGAATGAATCCTTTGATAAACCTGGAAGACTATTCAAACTTAGAATAAGCATATTTCAAACTCAGGGCCAAGGTCTGTGAAGATGAAAAATGTGTGTGGCAAAAATATGTGGTGGTGAATGCATATATTTATATTTTCCAGTTATAATGCACTTGGTATATTATTGCTTAGTCAATTCATT